CCCCAAACCCCAAAACCCCAAAACCCCAAAACCCCAAAACCCCAGGAGATGGTTCGAGCCTTGCAATATTATTAATAATTACAAATGGCCACTGAAATTGCAGACTCCATCATACAAAAGTTGTATGATTTAGCAGTAGATGTTGTTGTTCCGAAGCTAGTCAAAGGAGACCAAATCCTTCGTAGAAGAATACCTGTAATCTTCTGAACCACTATCTTATGTCCATTAGTTCTCGTCCTTGCAGCCACTGGATATATTCACCTTTATGAGAAGTATTTTGAAACAAAGGTTGAAATTGAGCATTCATGAGAAGTTTCCAAAAGTATTCAGGCTAAAATTATGTTCATTATATGGACCCTTGGCAGGTATTTCTCTTTAATGATATAATTCATAGTATTTCATGGGCATTTTGACATAAAATTGGCTTCATTTGTCCTATAATTCAGAGACAAACTGAGAAAGTAAGTAAAACTTAAAAATTAAGATTCCCAATTTACTCTAAATAGTTTTAATAATCTCCTTACGACAAGTCGATTTATTTGGCCCTGTTTTTCTATAAATTGAAGTGATGCTAGATCCCAGTAAAGAAGCAGTCAATAGAGTAACAGATGTCTTGAAATACTCCTAATTTCTAAGAGTTTACAAGCATTTACCACTAGTGGTATAATAATTTGAAGAGTTTCACACCAAGTTTTCTCTAGATCCTCTCTGCTGATTTTGAAACATTTATCTTCCAGCGTAATTCAGAAGACTCTCAAAATCAATTCAACAGCGACAAATCTGATCAAGTGCAAGACTCTAACTGTCAGCCAGTTATAAGAAAGAAGTTTCGGTTGTCCAAACTCCCTGAGCATTATGTATCTTCAAAGATGTATAAAGAAGGTAAGCTCTTGCCCTCAACTATCTGAGTAGATAAGCAAGCTAGCCATTACTTATCATGTGTCTCAAGCAAGGTGGAGCCAACAGAAGAGAACTTCGGTAAGCTAGCATAGATTCATGAATCAAATAATCAATAGTTTATTGTTTTTATAAAGCTCTTACACCGTTTTGGCCTTTGTGCTATCAGCTTCTAAGACCTTCAGCCTCGGCCACTGTACTACTTCATTGATGCTTGATTAGGGTTTGAAGTTAACTGGCGAGCAGGTATATTTAGACAAGTTTGAGCTGCACTAAGACATGGCCAAGCCCTTGGTTCTTTAATTTCTCTTGTTTATCAAAAACCAGTTACTATAAATCACCATTTCTAAAACCTTGGTTGGTAATAACCCTCAGAAGATGAAATGTTTTAAGAATCTTAATTTATATTTTCTTAACTTTTCTCTCATAACATAGGACATGTTGCCTCTACCTCCTGAGACTGATCACTATACCTTTTGTTTCCTCGCTTTGAGACTTATTTACATTCAAATCGCTGATCAACTTGGAGCTTTCGTTTAAATTTATTTGTAAAACACAATTCTGATCTTTTCAGAAATCTCAAAGTAAGTATTTTTATAGAAGAAGAGCATCTTCAAAACAAAGTTAACTATCCCTGAATGCTTGATGGACTTCTAAAGTTGATCCAGATGGAAGACCCCTACCCAGAGCTTAAAATCAAGGTGTATCATGTAGGGTAAGCCAGTTTGAAATCTCAGTATTTCATAATGTTACTATTCTTCAAAGCGTTCATGACTCCACACTCGACAAGAGTAAATATCAGCTATTTAAAGCTGCTTGGGCATCTATCTCTCTCCTAATAAACTGATTCACCGACACTTCTAAGAGTTCGCAATTCCATACTTTATAATTTATCGATTCATGAGTCATATTTCTAGAAACGATCAGAGATTCATGACGGTGAAGACCTCTAAAAATACCAGAGGCTTAAAAGACACATGTAGAGGGAGTAATAAGTTTTGCTTTACGATTCCTCATGCAGATATCAGCTTTGGCGAAGTCATCCAGGCTCTCTCTGAAGAGAATATTTATACTATATAAGACATCTTGAAGAGGTTGATAACAGTGATTATGTGTTTAATTTCAATGAAGGTTTTCAAAAAGCAATTGGGAACTGAGACCAATCTCCAAATACAAGTAAGATTCCTAATCTCATTATCTAGCAAAAATGTGCACATTCGGAGCTCACATAAAAGGGACTATGCCTTCCAGTACTTTTGACAAAACAAGAGAATACCAGATGAGTATTCTAGACACGTTGAAGAAAATTTCTCATAATCTAGGAATCCTCATATCAAGCTATGTTATTGATCAATTTGGAGATCAAATCTACAATTTTAAGATCTATTATGACCAGTTTGGTCTTCTTGTTCTAGAATTCAACATCAAAGAGCTATCTATCGAGAAATCCCTCGAGGAAAGAAAACTGGACGACTCCATTTCCTTAGAACTAATCCTCAGTGATTGAGAATCTATCGCTGAGGAAGGCTCTTGCCCTGAAATAGCCCAAACCTACAACACCATCATCACTCATCGCACCTTATTCCCTTCCAAACCTGCCATAAAACAGTCCAAAACGGTCAAACTCAGCTCCCTCAAAACCCCCACCACTCACCCCTCTTCACCACTGAAAAGCCACACTGGGCACCTTCTGCTTCCCAGTTAACAACCCGACAAGTCCACGGGCTCTAAACTCCTTAACTTATTCCTAAAAATTACTGAAACATGCTGCTTCAAGCTCCATTTACTAGCCTTTGGGTCCAACTAGAGGCTCAAGATGTGCAGGAAGGGCCTAAGAGGAAGGGCTAGAGGCATTTTTGATACCTTTTGTCAACATTTGGCGTCATTTTGGTAAATTTTTGACAAATGTGGGATACCTATCTGAAAAATGTGTGAAAATAATTATTTTTATATACCCAATTAAGACATTGTTAGCCGGGGTTTTGGGGTTTTGGGGTTTTGGGGCTTTGGGG